TTGAGAGTCCTCTCTTTTGGTGAGGTGTCGTGAGCGCGCTACCTTGAGAGACGACAATCTTCCCGGAAGCATTTGGAAGGAGAAAGGGCGGTGCCTCTGAAGGGCCCTGGTCGAAGCACTTGGGTCACGGTCATCATGCCAACCCACAGGGAGTAGTGCACGCATGCGATGGCTGCTGTCCTGTTTGGCACTTGCTGCGCTAATAGAAGTTCCTCCGGGTGTGCCAGCCCATTACAGACGCTTACCAGACCGTCTATAAATATTTCTGATTGGGAGTTCATTGTGAACCTGGTTGTGATCATCGTCCTGACTGCGATGTTGAAGAATTCCTGAAGAGATGGGGGAGCTCTATAAATACCTCCTGATCAGCCAGATCACATGGACAGGAAGGCTCGTCGCCGTACGAGGGTAAATAAGGTGTACACAACTATACCCATCAATCATACATCTGCTACATTGTCTTTTTGATTAGTTGGTGGACAGACTGCTAACACCTCACAGACAGATAGTGTAGGACTGTTGTATGCTACCATAGCCAGTTCTAACTAATGCTGCTGTAAGTGAACAAGTCAAAGTGCATTTAGACTATGTAGACAATCTGTGTGAATGTTGTAGACATGCCACTTGATCGGTACAGTAGGGGACTTGCCGGACATAACCATTTATAGAAAACTAGGTGCCGGTCAGACACATGCTGCGGTAGGATTCCATTAGGGGATTAACATGTGCAAGATCAAGTAGGATCCCGTATGTGTTCAGGACCCTAGACGAGGGAGAAGAAAGACGGCTTCGTACCGAACGCAGAGCCCGTGCTTTCGCAGCATCGAGAGAAGCAGCAAACCTTGCAGCTAGGGAACAGGCTGCAGCAGCAGCCAGGGCAGCAGCCATGACTTCTTCAGCAGCATCCTTTGGTGCAACTTCTGCTGCATTCTCGTCTGGACCCCAGTTTGGAATGCCAACAGGGTCCACGGGCACTTCCAGTTTATCAAGTTCTAGGCAATCTACAAGTCAAATGGCGGGCTTGCAGTACAGCCCGTTGACTCCTCGCGAAAGGGAGATGAGAGAGCTCCAACAGGTCGAAAGGATTCGTGCACAGTTAGAGAAGGATCTGAAAGAGATACCGATAGAGAAAAAGAGATAAAGAATAGAACAGGCAGGCTTGAAACGTTAGAGTCTGACAAGGCTGACTTGGAGGGCTTAGATGACTCAGGAATGAATGAGCCCATGAAAGTGTTGAGGAACAACATGCTGTCGCTGCATGCGCATGTGGACAGCAGGTTGGACTTCATGCAGAGCACTTTGGACCAAATCCTGGACATCTTAACAAGGCCAGGATTTAGGCCACCAGCATAATCGCCGTTGCCGTTATCGGCGATGTCAGGCCCTTTTTCGGTTCAAGCTGGCACACAACCAAGTGGCACATCTGCAGCAGCAGCACAGTGTTGCATCTTTTTCTTCGGGTCCAATGGTGATAGCTACTCCACCACAACAACCTGTTCAACAATCTGGACAGCCGCAAGGTCAATGGTATCCCAAGACCCCAATGAAACCGCCTCTTGCCTTCTGAGGTGAGAGAAAGGACGAGGAACTCAACACATGGTTGAGAACGGTCCCGGTTTGGGTGAAGGCCAAAAGGACCTTGCCTGAGGACGAAGTGGTAACTGCGGCGTCTTACCTAGAGGGTAAGGCAGCCAAATGGTTAGATGGTGTAGTTGTGAAGGCCGGGTACGGGCGACGCATGGCGGACTGGGCTAAGTCTTCGACTTTAGACCAATTCATGGAAATGGTAGAAGCTCGATGGCATAATCCGCAGGACGCGCAAAGGGCCAGTGATGCCATTAACAAACTGGATCAACATAAGTTCAGGTCAGTTAGGGAGCTTACGACTACCGTTGAGAGCCTGATCCTCGTCCCAGGTATCAACTACAACGACCAGTTCATGTTGACTACGTTTGTCAGATGTCTCCCAGAGAACATGAGGAACTTACTTGCGGCACGCACCGAGTACCACTCGTTTGAGACATTGTCTAGGAAAGCCTTAGACTTCGAGGCCACACTAGGCAATGCTCAACCCACCTCAGGGAATGACTCAAAGAAGAAGAAGAGTCCTCAGGAGTGGAAGAAGAAGGGGGCGAAGTTGATGATGGTTGAGTCTGATGGGACTCAAACWGARATCGAYGAGCTCTCTGACCTGATGGACTACTCAGAGTATGACGGCGAGGAGGTAGCTGAGGGTAGCACCCTCGCCGCGGTAGTTAAGACTAAGGCGGCAGACCGACAAAAGGGCCAGCCTAGGCGTCAAGGGAAGGCCGCCTCCAATCAGACCAAGAAGGCTGATTGGGTTAAGGCCGGTCTTGATCAAGACGTGTGGCGAGACCGTCGAACGCGTGGTGCTTGTATTAACTGCGGTGAGTACGGACACACCCAGTACAAGTGCCAGAACGCTAAGGTCACGCAGAAGATACCTCCTAAGGTGGGGGCATCTTCTTCCCAGGCTTCTAGCTCGGGAAGTGGTAGCGGCTTCTACTCAAGATGAAGTGGGAATGATACCCTCCTCACTTCATGACAAGGTCGAAGCTAATGACTCCTTAGTCACCCCGCAGACACAACTAGACCAAAATATGCTTTGTACGTTAGATGTGTCTGAAGCCTTGACTTAGAAAGTGAGTGGTCAAACAAGGACCCTCGCGAGTCTTGGGTGGCGCTGAGGAAAGGTCCTAGAGGGGAACATTTCGTGGTGGAAGTCGATGTAGGAGGCCGCAAATGTGGTGCCTTCATAGACATAGGCTCCACGTGAAATTACATAAGTCGCGATTGTTTGGAAAGGCTGCACCTACAGGACCGGGTACGGCACCTTAGTAGACATGTACCATCTACTTTGGCCAACAAAGAGCGCATGATTGTAATAGACTACATCAAGGACGTGGTCTGTACCTTCTCCTATGGAGGAGGTGAGCTTAACCATAAGATCTCGTTCTTGGTTAGTGACGACTTGCCATTCGATATGTTGTTAGGCATGTACTACCTCGAAGTTGTTGAGCCCCAGTTTGACTGGGATAAGAAGGTGCTCAAACATAAGTTGCCCGATGGCCGAACTGTCAGATTGACCAAGTTCAAGGCCAGCAGTATCGTAGATACATGTGGCTGCTTGTGCGCATCCGTGTTTTACAACTATTACAAGCAAAAGAGGAGGGTATGTACCTTGTTTATGTCTCTGAGAAAGGGGAGGTCGTTAAAACACCCCCAGAGATAGAACGTGTCGTTGCTAAGTTCCCTGATCTGTTCGAGGAGTCCTCAGGAGTTGTTGATAGGGAAGTCGTCCACGCTATAGCAATCATTCCAGGGAGTAAGACCCCAAAGGGAAGGATCTATAGGATGGCCCCTGCCGAGTTAGATGAACTTCGAAAGCAACTAAAGGAGCTGACAGAGAAGGGATGGATTCGGCCTAGTACTTCCCCTTACGGATCACCCGTGCTATTCGTACCGAAGAAGGGGGGTACTTTGAGGATGTGCATCGATTATAGGGGCCTCAATGCCATCACTGTAAAAAACGCAGAGCCTCTACCTCGCATAAACGACCTATTGGATAGGGTGCAGGGATGCAAGTACTATTCTAAGATAGACTTGAAATCGGGATATCACCAAATCGCAATAAGACCTGAGGACCAACACAAGACAACTTTTCAGACTCGTTATGGTCTGTATGAGTTTGTAGTGATGCCCTTTGGTCTTTGTAATGCGCCGGGTACATTCCAGCACGCTATGAATCGGATCTTCCATGACCATTTAGAAATGTTTGTCGTAGTCTATCTAGACGACATTCTAATCTTTAGTAAGTCTGCCGAGGAGCACGCACAGCATGTTGAGAAGGTACTCTCACTCCTACGACAGCACAAGTATAAGGTCAACTTAGAGAAGTGCGAGTTTGGCCGCACTAAGATACTATACTTGGGTCATGAAGTATCCGCGGAGGGAATTAGGCCGGAAGATGCGAAGGTGGCTAGTATTCGAGACTGGCCACGACCTCAGACAGTCACTGAGGTCAGATTATTCTTAGGAATGTGCAGCTATTATAGGAACTTCGTAAAGAACTATTCTACAGTTGCCTCTCCTTTGACTGATCTAACTCGACTTGACACACCGTGGGACTGGAGTGATGAGTGCGAGGGTGCTTTCAAGAGATCGAAGCATGCACTCATGAATCATGAGGTCCTCATGGTTCTGGATCCGCAGAAGCCATTCATAGTGACCACTGACACAAGCCAATACGACATTGGCGCAGTGCTGGCTCAGCAGGATGGGAAAAAGTTGAGACCGATTGAGTACACGAGTAAGAAGATGCCATCGAAGAAGTTGGCTAAGTCCACCTACGAAAGGGAACTCTATGCTCTCTACAAGGCACTTGTCCATTGGAGACACTTCCTTTTGGGAAGGTTCTTCTATCTGAGGACTGATCATCAGACCCTCAAATGGATCAAGACTCAACCGGCTCTTTCTGATG